GCAGCCCATAAAGTTGCAGATTCCGTTTTAGGTGCCACCCAGCTTGGTGTATTGAAACGGACATGTGAAGAACGCCTTGCAGAGTGAACATGATGCCTAAAGTCCCATGTATGCTCGTGAATGTTTGAATTGAAACTCCAAAGATGTCGGCGAGAAAATTTAATCGATCACTCATAAGAAGGGGGAACAAGTTTATAATGGCCATATAACCCGACCGAATTCTGATGTCAGTCAGGCTATGCGTTTGTATAAACGTGCTAACTATATTGCCAGGCCAATAAATCAGCTGTAAAAGTAGCCAGGCCCTCGATCTTCTTCTCACAATGGGCGGATAGACGAGATACTTCAAGACGATCACTGTTGCCCATTGCGCAGGAGCGGCTAGCGAAGTTCGGGCATAGTTGAAAGCGCGACTTATATTAGTCCATAGAAAAAAACAAGAGCAATAACCCCCCAATTATGGCGACGTATAGAGTGGAGGGATCAGTTATCCTCATTCTGTAAGTGAAAATGCCTGAGGGTGTGGATAATGTTCTGTCCGATTACAGAAATTAGTATTGGGGTTTTTATAGACGCAAGAGCATGTAGATTTGCTGGACAGCAACTAAAAATAACCACGTATGTACTTACACCCGTGGGCGATACGACAACAAGACAACAAATTATTTTAGATGACCTAAAGTATATAATGTACAAATCGCCACTGGAGACTTTTGATTTCATCAGGCCTACTCTCCACAATGCCGCAACCTGTGGATCCCTCCGGTGAAAGCCGCCGCCGAAAAACATGCTTCAGAAAGATTTGTCAGCTCTGCGCTCTGTTTCGAATGAGAACAATGGTAGTATTGGTTGATAAATCCGATCAACATTGGATATTCAAAACGCATGATGATATTCCGGATTTAGAACGAGTATGATCTATATTCTTAATCCCGTCGTCCATCAATTGACCTTCATAGCAGGCTATACAGCATCCCCAGACTCACACCTATGATGATTTTGAGGCTCTGCCTGCTTTCAGCCAGCGGATTCCAGCTGCGCAGCCATCTCAACGCCAGATTACCATCTTAGCCCCACCAAGTTTTCGTCGGGACTAAGGTGGGGCTACCGTGGGCGAGCCGCTGAAAGACTGTCTTGTGGGCTGGTATTGATCCTAGGCGCTATTGTATAAAGGATGCATGTTTTTCTCTACCATTTTATGACAATCTATCACTGTCAAGCCCATAATATTATTCGTAATGGACGTCAGCCAGCCGGAAGATGGCATACCACTTAGTCCACTGGATCATATCCTTCAGGATGGCGTGCATACGCTGAACACCGAGCGTCTTCCGATTTACTTGGAATCTCCAACAAACGTGAATGCACGTCACTTTGTTGATCTCCAACAAGAAAACTTAAGCCTTCGTCAAGAATTACTTTGGCATCAGGGGGCAAAGGAGGCATATCGCCACCTTCAAAAGGCACTCCTCCAAGCCAGGGTCCAGAATGGTGGGGACAACCCTTTTTCAGAGCTGGTGAATGACGCGCAGGATTGCCAGTTTCCTTCTTCGACAATGTCTGCAACGAGTATCCCACAGACCTTCGGAGTCAGAGAGCCGTCTTCTCGAGGCTGTAGGTATCTCGTTAGATGATACAAATGGGAGAGACATCACAGTGCTATAGATGAAGCTGGTCACAATTTCATTTTTTTAACTTCATGCTGTTTAAAAACTCGTGAATCTGCCGCTCCGTTTCTCCAAGGCACCGGCCAATGCTATGGGCTTTTCTGAGATTAATAATGAAAGCATGACGTAAGCGACGATTTTCAGACAGTAAAGTTGCCTCCCTATGCTTGTACGTCTCGATCTTGGTTTCAAATTTTTGAATGGTGTGTATGGAGTCTTGTACTTGTTTTTCAAGATTGTGGGTATCTGCTTCAAGGTTGTGGATACTTGTCCGCACTTCGGAAGGGCAAGGCGAGTGAGTTTCGTTGCGAACTGCTCGGATATCTCCACATTCTAATCCGTTTGATAACTCAATATACACGTTCGTCGACATATCGCTAAGTTGCCTGTCAAAGAAGTGGCTGGTCGCATTGCTAAAAAGCCAAGAATAGGCATCTTTTTCCGATGGCTGAAGGCGGACTTCTGACGGTCGCACGCGCAACCCAAGTCGCTCGTCTTTGTTCTTGATTAGCAATGTCCTCCCCTTCCGTATTCGCCAGGCATACTTATGTGGTTTGCGAGGTCTTCCCGACACCACCTCCTTTCCAGAGCACGTTTTCTATTAGCTGGGTTTGACATATCATGCATCCGAACGGCCTAAGTTCGGCAGTCTGCGACTATATATCGTGTATCCCGTTGGGGAAACCCTATGGTCGTATGTACTACTTATCGTACGGGCAAGAATGATATACTTCAAACGAATAACCCCCAGGATGGAAGTAGGCGAGAGCTTTAGCGTCGCACGACCGGGGTTGAGATGGTGGGTGCGCAATCCATTGCTTCGGCCCGTTGCTTTAGGCCAATGAGCTTATTGTCGTTTGCCCCACTCCGGGTAACACCCGAAACACTCAAAGCGTCTTCTGAAGTTTGCAATATCTCCAACTGACCGAACTCTCATATATGACCAGACGAAGCGTAATGACTTAGCCTTTAACATCGAATCCAAACTCTCGAGATTTTCACATCCACCTATTAACAGTTGGATTGAATATACAAGCTGAATCAGTCGGCACAGGACTGTTTTGACCCCGACTGCTATTCCATTATCTGCTTCCCTTCTGCATTTTGACCTCCCGACAGGTCGAGCCAACTCGGACCGTCAAAGATGAAATCTGTTTCAGCTTTTTCCAGCTCATCTGACGAGCAGATATTGCTCTTTGAAGATGATGCATAAATCATGATTTGCGGGAATTTATTCGACAATGGAAGGATTCTCTGTGCTCTGATTTCACTTCCAAGTCTAGCATACCTGCGACCTGGACACATTTGGTCGTCTTTGAAACCTCAAACCAGATCATCATTTCATTAGATAGTACTAATGATTGCCACACTACATAGTCTTAGTCAGGACGCGATATCTTATACCTTCTTCCCGCCGGAGAAAAGTAAGCCATTGATTTGGACTCAAATTCAATGCTCTTGTGGTATAAGGCTAATTGGTGCAGATCAGGAGCCCAGTCATGTCATATTATCGTATTCATCTTCGAGACAGCTCTTTGGTGTAGGTTGCGGCGGGGTTCTTTCGGTCTTCTGCAGATGACCGCCTTTGGTGGATTACTTCCACTATTGCTCCTACTGAACAACACTGTCACGGCGAATGAGCGCACCTTTTCGTGGTGAGTAGAGGGCGGTGAATAGACGTGTCTTGCCAATATATGGGTCAATTTGTGACTTCATTCCTTGGATATTGTAGTATCTCTGCACTCACTTGAGATGGAGCGCGATTCCGTCATTTGTAGATCTGCTTCCTCCCCAAAATAGCTTTTCTTTATGCGGGTCCCATCGCTAAGAACTTGTCATAGATTGTCTTTTGATCGTTCCGGGCTTATTTTTTGGACCGGTGAACAATGCGAAATGTATATTACTCTATTTTATCAGTACATTGACACGCAGGGCTTTATACCTTGAGTAGTTCTTGTTGGCTCGAACAAGGTACAAAGCACTGTATGTCGCTATTTTGCGACGTCAATGTTAAGCGAGCTGCACATGTTACTAGCCAGGCGTGCATGTAAGCTCGCTGTGCATGTAAGCTCACTTCGTAGTCCGGAACACTAGTACATGAGATAAATTCCAATTCGGTTCCCTAAAAACGAAGTTATATAGGAAATTTTTCTTGTAAATTAATGTTTTTCATATGATAAGCAACTTCTTCAAACAATTTGACGAATCACTATTTACCTATAGTCTAGTGGTTACCTAGGGCTAGGATGGGCCTCAAGGAACGTAATTCTTGTAAGTATTTCTGGCAGCAATGCAAGGTTTCTGGTTCCCTGATATCAATGTACGGTACCAAGAAGCTTTATGAATTAATCTCTATATGGATTTCGCCGTGATCTAGTCAGGTGATCTACCTGACTAAGCCATGTCCAGCATGTAGTTAGTTAAACCGACTCAGCAGGATCGCATCAGTTGCGCATGCCAAGATTTGATTGCTCTTCTAATCCTTGGCTCAATGCTCTTCTCCCGCTTTAATGCAGCCAAAATATAATGCAGACCAGTTTCCGGAAAAGGTGAATCGTCCGTTGCCTTCGCATATTTTTGCCATATCTCGATTCCAGGAATGGTTGTTTCCCCGCCTTCAAGCTTGGGGACACGGGTCCCTGCGGTAATTCCGCGACCACTAACCTTAAACGGACTAACCAATGCGACGTGTCGAGCCCGCATACCGTCGACGATGTAGTATTGGGATTCTCAACAGTCACGGGATGATTCTAGTGGCCGGGAGAAGTTTATGCTCATTGCTGACCAGAAAGAACACCAGCTCACTTCCGTTATGGGAAATTCAATATCACGCACCAGGGATAATTGCAAATACTACGAGATCAATATAACCAGCACGAGATAGGTTGAGGTTTCTAGATGAGCTCTTCAGTGCAGTGGATCAAGTACGAATTTCTCTTATATCATCACTAGTTGCAGTATATGCCGCCATATGCGAAGGATTATACACATCTTCGTATATGCAGAATATGGCACTCTTTCTTGGCTACAACTAAATATAACCCTGGCGGCTTACTGAGCATCTCAAGTGAGACAATTGGGATATGCCGAGGTCGAGGTGACTAGTGAAAGTTTCCACTGAGCGGCACTGCTTTCTCCCTGTGTGGGAGCTAGTGGCTCTAGTAAGAGCCCTAGCAGAAAATTATAAAATGCTACCTCACCCCAGCAAGGGTTGAAGGCAACAAGAAACTTGAGATTCAAAGGAAACCATTCAATCCACAACTCCTCATTCGGCAAAGGCCCAAACCTTGCTTGATTGACTTTTAATTGCTCGTCAAAGTTCCAACCTTTACGATGGTCAACTGGTCAATCTACACGATAGGCCTCCTGGCTCTCAGCCTTTCCAGCCAGGCAACCCAAACTTTCAGCAACACGGGAACAACCTCCGGCTGGGATTCCACAAATGCCGAGCACGATGGCACAGTCCAACAGGTGACAAATGTTGTCTACAAAGGAACGACAGCCTTGAAAATGACACAAGTCTACGACTCGAGCTACACCGGACGATACCACTCAGAGGTAGTGAAGAACGATGTGTACAAGCGCGGCGATACCGGCTTCTACGGATTTGCCTTCCGCCTTCAAGAAAGCTGGCAATTCTCCCCCGCCCAGTCGTACAACATCGCCCAGTTCATCGCTGACTTCTCCGACACCGGCTGCGACGACTACATGCCATCCAGCATGGTCTGGCTCGTCGGGGACCAACTTTACTCTCGCGTCAAACAGGGAACGATCTGTGCACAGAAGATCCAGACCTTCTCCAACCTTGCTACCGTCTCTGCGGGCGTGTGGCACAGAGTTGTGATTCAGGCTAGCTGGAAGACGGACGGAACAGGATATTATAAGATGTGGCTTGACGGAACGAAGGTTTTGGAGGAGTATAACATCGATACAACGATTGAGGATGATCGGGTGTTCCAGTTCCGAGTTGGTCTGTATGCTAATGGATGGCATGATGATGGTGCGATGAAGGGGACTCAGGGGACGCGACAGGTTTGGTATGATCAGATTGCTACCGGGACGACCTTTGCGGATGCCGATCCTGCTCAATGGTAGATCAGTGGAACAGGTATGGAATTTGGGGCGATGAGATGCGATTGATTGTCGATCGGTCTTAGCTAAGATCCGGTCATCGGCTTTCTGATTCTTGTCGTGAAGCTGAAGGAGCAGGCTATTGGATTGGACTGGTAGAGTGGGGATACGATACCTTCGTACTGCTCATATCTGCTCGGCTCTGCATGTTATTTTGTCTCTTCTCCAGACTCATTTGGGTCAAGGAAAAAGGGAGATGAGGTTAGCATTCTATATGAGAGAAACATTTTGACAAGGAAGGAGTATTATACCAAGTAATCAAACGTATTTCGTAGAATCTCAGCTCCCGGGCCCCTTTTCGAGTAGCTGCAATGAAGCCTCTGAGAAATGTTTGCACTGTTTCGTTTCCAGAAAGGCTCTTCTCGGGATTTGCGAATTTACAAGTTTCCTTTGTGTAGCTCCGTCTTTGCATCCGAAGCTTTGGAAGGATCTGCATCTCCAACTGGGAGCCTCGCTTTGCCCACTTTAACTGGCCAAGCATGCAAGGCTCCCGAATCCTTGGGACCGGATAACATCAAAAATCAATCAGATTAATCCTGATCAAAGAACTTGTCCGACGATCAATGGAGATGCCGTGTGGGCTGACCTTTCGTAGACATCGGGTCCAGTCGAGTGGGAGACTAGTTACGCTGAAAGAAAAGATACAAATAGGGGTCCAGATTCCCTTAAAATAACCAGAAAAGCCACAACAATCAACGCCAATAACAAGATCCAAATCTGCTCACAATGAAGTTCGTCGGCATTGCCCTTGATGTTATTCTCGCGGCCGTCGCTACCGCTGGCGCTGTGCCTGTTGCCGAGAGAAGCTGCACGGCAGGTATGTTGTGCAATCGGAAGACCTTCAAGATAAATTCCTTTTTAAATGGCAATTCGGTAAGAGCTAGTTGCTGACTTGCTATCAATTTACAGCGAATGGTGCTTGTACTGAGAACTCCCAGTGCTGCAGCGGTGCATGTGGTACTGGCCAGTACAAGGCCCTTGGGAAGTGCAGTCCATAAGCATAGTGAATAGACATTCCGGTCTAGGTATACTGCAAGGTATTCCGCATGGAATAACTCATGTTATATGGCTGCTAACTGCCTCGGACGAATATAGACTCTCACCTGCAGACATGGACGCTGAAGGTTCATCAGTGAAGGAATAGAATTCAACAAAGAAGTTTATGGGATAACAGCAATATATTTTTCCAATCTCTATAGGTGTTTTGTTTGGAATTTATCACAATTCTAGATTTCAGAAGTTTCCTAGTAGGTAGTTATTCATCAAAAATATCAATTTGACGTACGTAAACGGCATTATTCATATCTGCATGAATCTAAAAGAACATGAAAGTGCCCATAAATATGGCAGCGACCAAGAGGGCCAAACTCTGCACACCACCAGATCCACTTGGTGACAGCGCAATTCCTGCCCCAGTGTGATTCGCCGATCCATTGACCGAGGTAGGGGTGTCTCCCAATCCATCTGGAAGTCCCTGATATCCAAAAGTCAGGTTCTGGGGAATAGACGTGTTGTAACAGTCTCCATTTGCAACATCCAAGTTTGTCAGGTCATCCGCATTCAAGAAAAACATATAATTAGATTGGTTCAAGTTTTTGAAACCAGATGTGTCATACGGGAACTTGTCACCCGAGTCGGTGGCACTGGTGTTGCGGATCCAGATGCATTGGACTTGTCCGGGGAATTCGGTGGCCATTTCTGGGTAGTCGCGCATGACATCGCTATTGCTGGTGTCTGCGATCAGGATGAACTTGCGCTCGGGGAATGTTTCGAAAACCTTCTGTAGAAGGAACTTGCGGATCGAGAGGGTCGCGGAGACGTCACTGAAGTTCAGTGGGCGGGTGTCAAAAGAGCCACCTGGGTAGTTTTTATAGATGAACTCCATGTAGTTCCTGGTGACCTGCTCGGGGGTGGTAGTCTGAAGCCATTGTTAGTATGTTAAATGTGAAGAGGAATGTTGAGGGCCTACCAAGTAGTGGAAGTGCATGTTAGGAACGCTGATAGACCAGTTGCGGTAAATATCAGGCATGTTCTGCCAGGGCGTGAAAGGACGGGCAAAGGAATTGAGCAATCCTTGCTTTGGTTCATAGATCTTTGTGACGCGCAGAATATCGTCAATGTCAGAGACAATAGTGATTCCAGTTGGAGGCACCAAGTAAGCGGTACTGTTGCCAATAGTAGCGCCCTCAACGTAAGTGTTGAGTCTCTGGATTGCTGAGGTCTCATTTCCGGCAGTGAGCCCATTGCTCTTAATCGGCAAAAAGGTGTCAAAGTCACCCTCAACCGTTGTATTGTACGGGAGGGTAATGTTTTGTGTGCCACCGGTGGTGTTCGATGATCCACCACCACCAGGCTGTCCGCTTGACCCCTGGCTTGGGGCAGGTTCGAGATGAATAGTGTTCACAGCCACATCCGGCTGTTGGACAACGAAGATCTCGGCTGTCAGGTTCCGCGCCTGGTCTTGTTGCGATTCAGGAAGATCGGAGATGCTTGTGCCGACGAGGAAGACGTTGGCTAACTTGTTCAAGTCCGAGACGGAGGTATTTGGCTGCTTGTAAACGTTTCCGTGGAAGCGAACGTTCCAGCCTGAGTTGGTCCAATTCGCGTAAGGGTCGATGTTCAGCACATTTGTGGGTAATGCTGCCAATTCTGTGCTCTCCAGGCCGAGGGAACTGACAACGGCGTCTCCAGTCGGGAATCCCTGGAAGTAATTGGGCACGCCGGATGCAACCCACGAGGGGAGGTCGGATCCAAGGCCCGAAAGCACGGTGTCGACATAGGAGTCAACATCGTCCAACAAGTTCCTGCCAACGATGGGGGAGGGATGACGCTGTACTGGAGAGGCTGTGATAACGGGATTTTGTGGGGCGACGGCATTCTTATCGGGGAATGCAGTGGGAGCGGGGGATGCGGAGGTGATGGAGAAGAGGCAAGCCTGCACGACGGCCTGGAGCGCAATAGTCGACTCCTTCATGGTTGTGGGTGGATACGGCAGGAGTCGTTGCGAATCTCTCGTCTCGAATTAAACAGTCGCTCTGATGCTCGTAAGTACACAAACGCCTGACAGTTCTTCGGCAGCGAGTGGAACCGATTGAGAGATCAAAAAGGTACGAATCTCAAGGGCTAAAATTCTCCGCGCAATGCTTCTTATTAATAGTCGAAAATAGATTAAATGACCAGGCACACGTGTATAAAACATGGAACCGGCGACAACCGACGTCACTGGCACCAAAAGTGGGGCTGAAAAGTTCCACCGACCGCCGGATTGACGAATCATAGCCGGAAGAACCATGCACGGTTGTTATTGTGAGACCCCCAGGGTCTAAGGGTCCCGAGATTGCACCTACGTCATTATACCTGTTATGCATATTGTATACGAGCAATTATGTGTCGTTTCAAACACGGCATTGCGATGCTGGAGTGTATTGTCCGTAGAGGTTTTGCTGGAAACTCGGGATTTCAATCCTTGGCTGTGGATTGTCCAGCCTCTGGTTGCGCTTTGCATGCTGATTGCACAAAGCACTAGCCAAATTAAATAGAAACAATGCCATGAAATCTAGAAAAGCTTGCCGGCCAGCCATCCAATGGTTCGTGTATTATGTAATCCGCACTTGGTCACAAGGAAGTAGATGATAAACGATTAGCTCCTCTTCTCAGAAACGCTATTGAGAGCATGCGGACATTGGCTCACATTTAAGACTTGCCCGCGAGATTCGGATGTTGTGCTGTTCAAAACGATAGACTATAATGTGGTATGAGTCTATGATGGGCACCAACATTGTATGGATCAGTAAGCATGCGGAAGCATAGATATGCAATTGATCCAAAGTCCACCACCAGATGGAAACTTGAGAATAACAATAGCAGTGGCTCAAGCAATAGGAAGGGGCGAAGCAAATATGGAAAAACGAAGCAACTAGGCAAACGTCGGCACTAGCAAACGAAGTGTTTCTTTCCCGATTGGGAATGTTGAGGGTAGCAGTGAATGTGATCCTCACACGAGGATTTTTCTGATCCTGCTCTCTCATTTGTCAGTCCAGAACTAAGCGAGTGATTCTGAGACCTGGGAGTGATCCTGGAATTCCCAGGAAACGCGTCTCCCAGACTATAAATACCCCCTTCCCCTCTCTTCCTCTTCTCTTCTTCTTCTTCTCTTTCCCCAAAGCTTTTGTCCAGTTTCGCACCGCTTTTCAACTTGGCTGTTGAATTGTCATGGTCTTCAGGTACGTCTCTTTAGATGGATTCGGCTCGCCGTTTTCAATGTTTTGTACGAGTCATCCCGCCAATATGCAACATCACCATTACTTCCATGTGGACCGTTGTGCCTGGAAGACTCCAAATCATGAGCATGTGGTACCCCTGAGCAAATTGAACGGAATGAATAGGGTGCTATCTGCGAGCCCAGCGGGGGCAGCGTTGAACATACCGAAAATCCCCTGTGCTGTCTCGGACCAGAGCATCATGCAAATATCCTTTCCCTCTGCACCCGCGTGTCTGGACTTTCCTGAGTGCATACGGGCTTTCAGGCATTTGAATTGCACTTCTTCACATGCCGCTTCGTTGAAAGTTGACGTGCAGAGGCAACCCGTGCTCCGGTCGAATAAGTTAATTTCTTCCGTATTTCTTGAAGCGCCCAGAGTTCCCCTTGTCTGCCGTACTCTTTGATGGAAAAGATCAACAGCCTCACACTATCCTTCTACACATGAGTTTCAGTCCTACTTAACCGTGGCAGATTCCGTCAAGAAGGACGTGACTGGGACAGCGTGTTAGCGCCGTGGTCCGCCTGATTTCCTCTACAGCCGTTGGGGGTGTAATGGGCTCTTCGGACCTGTTTGCTTCCTCTGGCTTCTGTCAATTTGCTTGCAATGCGTCAGAAATGATGAGTCTGGGCTTCTGCACGGTTGAGGTTAACACAGTGAGCTCGGTTCCTGATAAAAATCACAACCTTTTTTTCTTGGGCTTTTCGCGCGATTGATGGTCAGTGGGTTCCAAGGCGGGTGCTTTCTACGGTCTCGGTCGGACTCAGTCCAGTTTGTACTCTGCGTCTTGCGAAGGTCCCGTGGGCTCAATATCGTTGCTGTTGTTTTTTTTTTTTTTTTTTTTCCCCTGAGCTTCTGCTTAGTACTGTTTTTTTCGGACTCGGTCCGGTATGTACTTTGCGCATGCGATGGGTTTTTTTGCTCTCGGGCATTTCAGGTTTGAGTATTTTCGCGATTGCTCTTATTCTGGATGTTTCTGGGCCGTTTTTTGAGGATGTTGTATTCAAGGCGGTCTCCAACTCGGTTGGTTGCCATTCGTACATTCTGTTGCAGCTTCTCACTGCCAATCAACGAAAACGCCAGCGATGGGTCTGCACTTCTCCGCAGTGCTGGCGACTACTACCTTCTGTTGTTTTGCCTGTGCTTGACGACATGTTGGGAAGCTAGGACAGACCCCTTTCTGCACAGCACTTGTGTGTCTTCGCGCTTTCTGTCCGGTTTTATGTTTCAGTCTTCATGTTCATGACATGAAAGCGTTCTGTTGTTTCGTTTAAACCTATACTTTTGATCATTGGCATCCGCCACATGGAAATGAATCAAATTTGTTTCTTCTTATGACAATCCAATACAAAGCATGTAAAGAATACTTCAATTAGATCCTCCTGAGAATGAGAAAATACGATGACATGAAAGTTCACAACATAGTTTGCATTCCTAGCTTCAAAGCCTCCGTAAATGAAGATTCTCGATTTCGATCATTCTCACGTCACACTTTCAACGTGCTCCGCTGCTTCGTCTCCTTTGGCATGCATGACATGCTTGTCTCGAGCTTGATACTTCTCAGGACGCTTACTAGAGATTGCTTCCTTGTCGAGGCATGCCAGAAGAGGCGGACTGCCACGATAGTAGTCATCCATGTCTTCCAAAGTCCGACCAGCAGTCTCTGGGTAGAACAGATATACAGTCGGTATGATTGAAGCATTCAGCACAACCCAGATGATGTAAAACTTCCAGCCAAGGTTTTGGATGCCAATTGGTGTGATTTCGACAACCATGAAATTCATGATCCAATTTGTTGCGGCTCCCAACGCTGCTCCCTTTGTTCGCATTGTGAGTGAGTTGATTTCGGTAGGATAAACTAGACAGTCGAAAAAGTTGTTAGAATTGCAAGGAATTGAGTTAAAACATGATTGGGAAGGTTGTCATCTGCAACTCACGCCACGGTACACCCTGCATGCCAATGCCGAAGAAAACGTAATACAGGAAGAAGAATGCCACTGATGCGGATGCCACTTGCTCTCGATGAGGATATCCAGACATCTCATTGTATCTTATGAGCGCCGTGATGAAGATGTAGCAGAAGCACATCCCTGCGCAGCCGAACATCATCAATCTACGACGGCCCCATCGCTCCACGTTGGGGATGCCGATCAAGGAAAAGCAAAGGTATTGGACACTGTTGCATGCTGTGAGTAGCCTTGCCAGTGATTCACTTAGCCCGACTGATGAGCTGAGAACGGTCGGGAGATAGTAAGATGTCACATTGATTCCGGTAAACTGCTGGAATGCCTGCGCTCCCATGCCCAGCACGAGACGACGGATTGTGTTGGTTCCTGATTTCTCTCGAGCTCGACCACGGATAATGTCACCGAAACCGACGCTATTGGATCTCTCGTACTCCACACTGTATTGTATCTCGCTGAGCTGAAGCTGAACAAAGGCGTCGGTAGTTTGTAGTCCCTCGAGATCGGCGATGATCTGGAGAGCCTCGTCCGAACGATCGTGAGCAATGAGCCATCTATGAGTAGAGAGGAAACGGTAAGCCTCTATGTGAAAGGTCTGGGTGTCTAGACGTACCGAGGGGACTCAGGAAGCCATGGCACCGTGCAAAAGATCATGATGTTGAAGATCATCTGGAAGGACAAGGGGAAGCGCCACGAAACCGGACCATTAGCAAAGGAGAGACCATAATTTAGCCAATTTGCAAGGGAAAAGCCGACCAGGAGAAGGCAATTCTCAAGGATGACCAGTTTCCCTCGCCATTGGACCTTGGAGGTTTCAACCTGCCAAATGGGCGCTGTTGAGGTGTTAAGACCTGTCCACGGAAGAAAGGAAGATTAGCACTCATGCAATGCAACACTTGAAAGCTAGATCATACCATTTCCGATCCCAGCCACAACGCGGCCTGACATCATTTGGCCCAGACTGTAAGAAGAGGCCTGCAGGATAGCACCAATTGTCATAACAATTGTGCCAAGCAGAACCGTGTTCCTTCGACCAAGTCGCTCTCCGACGGAGTAGGCAAGCAAGGAACCAAGACAACAACCCACGTCGTAAATAGCAGTCACAGTGCCGAGGAGTGTTGTCTTGGTAGGTCCTTCAAGGTCATGACGCCAAAGAAAGTCCTGTGAAATGACAACTCCACTGAATACCCCTTGATCATAGCCAGACAGTGTCATATCTGCACCACAGGCCAATGTAATCCAGAAGGTAAGCCATCCTCCCCGGAGGCCGAAGTAGGGCTTTGAAGATTTCCACATCGTGAGCAGGAAGGCATCTAAACTCGATGCCAGAAAGCGAATTCAAAGGGCACCCATTCATGGCGGTTAAATATTCTCGAGACCCCAGTATCCATTGCAGATGAGTGGATCCGGGGTAGAAACCAGCTTGCTATCCCCCGCAATCGTTACTCCAGTGGCTTGCCCCGAGGCGGGACCCCACCGTACGATCATCTCTTCGGTATCAATCCGACGCTTTTTGCAAGGGTTTTTGATTCTGGGGGATCCCAATGGGGCAAGAATGTGGGGGATCCCGCGTGGGTCTCGGTCCGGGTCTGCAGATGATCTTCAAGGCTTCGCGTGCCCGTGTCGGGGGTCGAGCGGGACTCGAGTCGGGGGCAGGTCTCGGCAATGCGACCGTTCGAAATCTAAAATTAAGTTCAGGTGTGATCAGTTAAGGGTTATAAAGGGGGATTGGCCCTGCAGCTTCTCGAAAAAGGAATGTTGAGCTGCATTGTGGAACGGCCGATGAGTTCTGAATGCTTGTTGATTCTATCAAGATTGAAAGGAAGGAGAGAATGCATGAATTTAGGTCTGGTCAGCCCTGCAGGTAATCAAGTAGTAATTGAGTTTAGTTATTATCCAGTTACGGTCACCACTGCTGTGACGTGCATGAATACATACATAAAGTCAACAGGAGGAGAAATATCTATGAAATGTGTTTGTATGATTCATTAACGGCAATTCAAAATACAAATGAGATATGAATGTCTTCTCTATGTGCTTGCTTGATAAACCTTGAAACTCTTAAACTCCCAGTATGCCGTCGTAAAATTTGATGCGTTATCCATCACAAAAGTCTCGCAACTGTCTGGACAACCGCTCTGTGTGGTATAGTACTTCGTCGCAGATGCCCAACCTCCACAAAAATCGATGTTGGCAATAATGCTCTGGTTTTTGAAATGATTCCCGATGTTGCACTCTGTACTTGGGAAATCTGCGTATGCCTTGCCCCAAGTGGAGGGATCGGGGCTCCCCGATGTAATGTCAGATGGGATATCAGCGCGAACCCAATGCCAGACTCGAATTCCGGCATCCCGGAGCTCCATCGCATAAACCTAGAAATGGTTAGCCAAAATTCATTGCTGATGAAGAAAGCGACTTACTCCACCACCCTGTGCGTTAAATTCGGGTCCATATGTGGCCTTGGCACCTTTCACACCACATCCCGATTCGTCATGCGATTCCCAATAGCAGGTCTTGTACAATGCAGTACCGGTCTCCTTGCGTTTCACGCCCATATTGCATCCACTTGATGTGTGAAGGGTTGCTTGGTTGCCCCATTCACCCATGTTCACAGCTTCCATGACATCGATCTCGCCATGCTCGGGCCAGTTACTTGGGTCTGTGAGCCACAGAGCTGGCCAGATACCGCAAGCATAAGGAGTGTGCAAAATGTCGAACACGAAAAGCCCATCGGCATAGGTATTATTAGATGTGATCCGGACGGATTGGCGGCCATTAGCCACTTCGTCTTCCCCACTGTATGTGGTGTCCACTTTCAACACAGCCGATGTGTTTGTAGCGTATGTTAAATTGAGCCATTCAGACGCAGATCGGTCAATGTACCTGCAGGAAAGTGATTAGCTGAAGACATTCCTGAAATGACATCCATATGATACTCACTGGACAAATCCACCTGACGGGTCAGAGGTCGCATAATAGAAATTATCGAAAAAATCAGACCCAGAATAGGTATCCACCAAACTGTAGTTAAGTTGGGTATAACTGGGGTAGCGATTGGCTCGCACTCCGAGCACAGCGCCCACAATAACAGCAACGATAACCACAACAACACAAGCTGCGACAGCGAGCTTTTTGACTAAAGACCATCCTCGCGGGTCCCAGACAGAATACCCCGCGGTCGCGGGACCCGCCGTTGTTGCCTCAGGGCCCATATTCCAAGATCCGTAGGCAGGTGGCTCGCTGATTCTCGAGAAACCGGATTGCCTGATATTGTGCCCAGATGACCTGTCGTATAGATCAAGGCTCATGCCGCGGAGATAAGATTAAGGTTATCGAATCGTTGGAAAAGACATCTGCCGTACCAGGAACGTTGCGGACAGTTAAAAAAAGAAAAGAAAAAGAGACCAAAAAAATTGACCATGACCCACGATTAAAATATCTTCACTCCAAGATGCGTGATAAAGATTTGCCATTCGCCATTGGTAAGGCCGCGTATCTTGCCAAGCCATGATGACGAAGTGCCGCGGCTGCGACGCTGACCACGCGTCCCGCTGATACGTGGGTCGCTGACAGGGATCTAAGCCCAAAATAACAAGTTTCTGTCTCTTGTAAAATCGCCCAATTCGCTGTCCGAGATATCTATGGAGCAGACCCTGCAGGATTGTCTTTCACGTTTCGTGGATCCTACTCAATATGGATGACTGTTTGGTAATTGAGTAAAGCAACTCACCACCGAGCGGGCTACCTCCGAACACCTGTGCAAAATGCTCAATGCGACGAATTACAACTAAATCTCAATAAAGTCAGCGTAGCCAGAATCATTCTTATGGACTGACCCTGTTCACACTCTTTATGTTATAGTTCCGAGTTTTGATTGATTTCTCTGGGTAAAGTCCATGGTCAAAAATACATATTTGGAGCTCAAATGGCCAAGTTAATTGTGCTTCAGCAACGCCATAAAGTGGAATATTAAGTTACGCTAAGCTTTCAGATCCCAAGGATAAATCATGTTTATCACAAGAAATGCTAGTAATTGGAGATAAGGTAATATATGGAAGTCCTGTCCCCGAAATCAATTCGTGCATTTACTTTTAGTGTAAAGTTTTTGGTCTAGCCCGCTCGGTGTGGATCCCTCAAGCCTGAGAGTAAGGGCTCTAGACACGTGACTTGCTGTGAAAAAAAAAAAAAAAAAAAAAACAAAAAAAAAAACAAAAACAAAGAGTGAAAATGCGGTCGCAGATCGATCTGCAGTACAGCCAGATTTAAACCATCCATGTGGCCTTACTCCTAGCCAGCACATCCAGCTTGTCTTTGGCATGTACATTGGTCTCATCTGACTAAAAGGCTGCGGTGCTTTCATATACCAAGTCACATGACTGACTCTTTTTCGGTTCAGGCACCAAAAACGGGGTCACGTATTTTGGATTTTCCTTTCTGTTGTGGGGTCCCAGGTTGATTTTTAGCGGGAGCTATTTTTTCTACCGGCACTTGCAACTGTAATATATGGTGGGAGTTGCACGCCAATTTGTGAGAGATATTGGCCAGTGGGTTAAGTGCGTGAAGAATCTCTCGCTGGACGACTAAGCTACGCAGGCCGTAGCTTGAAGGCGTGAGAAGGAGCTCGTGTAGATACTAGATTTGCTTTAATCGGTTTTGTTTAATGCACATTCATAGAAAGTTGATTGAACCTTAACTATGGGCACGAAAAAGTAAAGCTGGCAGAAATGAAGTAATTTGATAACTATTTGTATAAATATATATAGTGTGCTACTATTAAGGCCTAAAGCCGTGACACATCTAACCCTACTAGCTAGGTGTGAGTGCCAGTGACCACCCCAGAGTGTCGGAAATGCCCCAAGGCACTCTGTTTTCGAGATCTAACAACCTCAATACGCCACTCAAGGAATGTTTAAAACCCTTATTCTGGGTCTTCTTCATACCGTACCCAATTCCGTCTAATGAATGCTTTTAATTCTGAAAAGAATTCCTCGATAGGATTTAAGTTAGGTGAGTAAGGGGGTAGATACACTAGCTTTACTCCCGCCTCGGTGCATATTTCCGCGATACGATCCGAATGATGAAAAGATGCGTTGTCCATGACTATAACAGACCTCGGCTCAGGCCATCTTCCACAATGCCGAAGAAGCTGATTAATGAAGTCCTCGAAGACTGTAGCATCCGTGGAGCCCTGAAATACACGAGATAGCAAGATTCCATCTTCGTAGTATGTAGGTAGTATCTAGTACCGCTAGTCACGATGAAAGTTGGCTACCTGTAATGGAGCCGTGCCTAATAGAGACCAGCCTGTCCGTCTAAACCCAATCCGTTTATCACACCTAGACTCATCCACGTAGACTAAGTGATACGATTCAAAGTCGGATAGGTTATGTAGATAGAAATCTCGTAGATCCGCATTTTGTTCCTTTGCTCTCTATCGAGCCACTTTTTTCGACTAACCTACCGAAGCAAGAGCCCGTTTGAGACTCGATGCTATGACCTAGATATAGAACTCGTCCCATAGAAAGATAGCTATCACGTCTATATATAGCCCGGGCTTTTCGAGGAGGCGATCGCATAGTGCTTCTATCATCGGAGGTGTTATGGTCCGTTGTTGACCTACCCGAGTCGGTGGCGCTCTAACATTTCCGAACTGGCGGAGGTTATTGCTGATGTTGATGATGGAGCGCTTACTACATTCAGCAGCTTTAGCTATTTAGGAGGTAGTTAGTGACTTGCTCGATATCATGTTCTAAATCATATCGAGCTTTGAGATAGGTAGTCTTAGAGCCATGTTACTAAGAATTCTGGATCTTAATAGAGGAAATTTTGGTAGGGGCCAGTGTAGGTTCGCTAAGAAGGTGCGTCGGGCGACTCTATCTGCTCACCCTTACTTACCCCTCTGCTTAGTGAGCAGGTGAAACGATTCTAGGTAAAAAAGGTGGCGGATGCTAGGTATTAGGAAATGCACGTGATAGGTATCCTCGCAGTCCCTGGGAGCTTGGGGGCCATCGCAAAGCTATGGCCCTCAGAAAAAGGTGGTTGATAGGCTGGTAGCATACGCTGGTTTCGCCAAAGTAACAATAAAATGCGATCTCGTATTGTCTACTCGCACGCTGCAAATAGCGAGCAGTAACTGACTTTCGAGGTAATACTGTCGAAGCGTGCTTGGGCGGGACCTGGCTGATTCTCGCATCCTGCGCTTAATCTAAGTTTTCGGCGTGGATCGCTCCGATTCCTGGGAAACACTCTATAAGACTAATAGGATACTTAATCGGAGCTGCGCCACCAATTTGATTCCATGTCTTAGTGTCGCGGAGTCAGTCACCTAATTATGAACCTAAGGCATATAAATCTTTTAGCTAAGTTAGATAGATGTCCATCTACTATTATATTATCACCTCCTATGGACCTATAGGAACAGTATTCGAGTTAAATAGACTAAGTCCTATAGTACACCATTCATACAGGGGCTAGCATATAGGTTTAGAAGTTCTATACGCTGCTTTAATTAGATAGTAGAGGTATTTATTGCCTATGTCTACTCTCGATTTCTATAACCCCACAAAACTTACGAACATAACATAATAAGGGGAATACCAAGGAGGAGAACCCATATTAATAGCTATAGAAGTACCACGGCAATAGAAAAGAGCTAAAATGCTCTATTCATCTCTCGTAGCTATTGATCGTCTAAAGTGTGAGGCTAAAGTTGATCTAGCGGAACGGCGAGCGCAACTTGCATCGATGAAAGAGTAATAGACACGCTAGCAAATAGAAAGACCAAAGGGAAAGTCGCTCTCTCCATAAATTCGCTAGTGGACTAGTAGGAATTCTTATAGAACCATCTAGTGGGAGTGCTTTATAGACGGAAGATCCGGACCACCCAATTTAATCGCGAGAGACGCAGCTATCCATAGTGATATCGCTTTGCGACACTATCATCTCCAACAACAAGGAAGTGATTAATAAAGGTTGACTATTAAATCCAGTTTATATTGGTCGGGACCAGGTAAGACTCCTTCGCGATCGCAAAGTCAAGGGGAGACTTGATGAGAAATGCGTATGAGCGCATAAAGCCTATCGCAACCGGGCTATCAAACACCGAAGTAGCTAGCTCGGGAGATTTAGGAACAGGCGAAGAGATGTCCGACGAATTTACTCTCTTCGGAAGCTACAGATACCGTACCCAAAATTCATAGTTCAGCAAATATAGAGGTACCGGCTTAATATAGATCTTGCTCCTATTCCAAATGAGATGAAGTCTTAGGTCTTCGGTTAGAATAATAGAGCGTCCCTTGACTTTTTGCGTATATAGCGCGTCGATGTGATGACCAGATTCCTTTGTAACTAGCCATAGATGGGTGTACAGCTCATCTAGGAGCGGGGTTGCTAATTCATTAGAAAGGTAATCATAGACCTCGTTAGGGAGAAGGCCGACACCAGGATTTCCTAGTATATATTATATAGTCTCTGTCTCGCTCGGAAATTATACGGAGTCGTCGTCGTTCGCGCTATGAGGACGTCTCAGAAGCTCTTTATTCAGGGCATAGGATAGAGGAAATAGGGCGTTGGTGTGAGGAGACATCGCATCTTAAGGTATTGTAGCCTAGAGCTAGGATTATATATTTCTTAGACATGCAAAGGAGAGGAAATGCTGGTATATTATGGATTCCAAATTTATAGCCCCCACTTGAATCAGGCGGAGTAATCCTGGGTACTAATTTCATTAATTAGTCTAGCGCCGTGATTTAGCCGTAGATATCTGGACTGTATAGCGGTAAACCACCTAACTTATTACGATTATATACCTTCTATGCTCATTACAGCTAAGCAGCTATTCACCTTATCGCATTTAAAGTCATTACGATCCGCTCCTACTCATCACATATTTAAACTGACTCCGCCGGCTAAAGAGGGGCGACCCACGTGGCAGCGCCCAACCATCTACTATGAACCAACCCACGACCTTATATCTACTCACTTTTATTCTTTTGGTCGCATATATCTATCATCAAATTACTAAAAGGATCCCGAGCTGGCTCATCGCTAATCAAGCTCTAAGGTCTCGATTTAAGCTCGTCCTAGTGATCAACTATAATATGCCCGCGCGCTCTGGTGGTATCGAGTAGGTATAAATACACCTGGTTGGGTTTCGACGTTACTAACAGAACTAGCCTTATATTTGTCTATGGCCTCGGATCTAACCCTGATA